TAGGAAAGGGGATGTCTGTGCTTCATGACTTACATATGTTAGAAGAGAAGAGGGGAAATGTGCTTTGGCAGAGTGGGATGAAATAATATTTTGACCTCAGCGTGATCCACCATCATCCTGGCTGACCATGAGTGTCCACACATATGGATAGTCAGATTAAAGCTGTTTTTCAGAAAATATTCCTACTTTTTTCTTATAATGATATTTTCTACAATTTTGGTCATCAACAACAAATATTTAGACTTATCCTTCTTCACTCATGGTATTCCTACACATGGGCATTCCATTTAGTTTTCCATTAAGCAATATTTAGAAATATTTTGAAAATTCATATGACATGCAAGTTTAAGTAATCTTAAAAAAAAACTATTCTGGAAATGTTTTCAAATAATTTATGCATGAAAGGGTTAATGCATGTCACAATTTTGTAGCAGATGACTACTGCATATTAAAAGCTAAAATCTGCCAAGAACTCTGCTTCAAAGCAAATGTGTATAAAAAATGAAAACATATTGAAATGGCAATGATTCACAGTATCTGTTATATATCACATTAGGCCTATAACTGGAATACAGGCCTAATGACAAGATAAAGGGAAAAAAAAACAGTGGTTCTGTTGTACTGTGGACTGCATTTCCCCTTGTACTCTTAGAGGAAAGTCACTGCAAATCAAACAAAGTTCTTCTGACTGATCACCTTTTCCCTATGATGAAACATTTCTATCCTGATGGGAGTGGTCTCTTCCAGGATGACCCCACCCATATCCACAGAGTACTAGGGCTCGCTGAATGGTTTGATGAGGATGGAAATCATACGCTGTAGCCTTTGCAGTCATCAGACGTCAACTCAGTTGATCAACAATGAGAGACTTTCCTCCACTGCCATCATCAGATTGAGGGAATATATTTTGGAAGTGAATGGTGTTCATCCCTCAAATACAGTTCCACAGACTTGTAGAGTCTGGTCCAGTGAAGCTGTTCTAGAGGCTCCTTGTGACTCAAAACCTTACTAAGATGCTTTATGTTGGTTTTTCCTTTAATCCGCCCATCTGTATCTGTCTGAATGTAGTTTACTTGTGCTATTAGTCCTTCTTTATGACCTCCGTGTACTGTTAAGATCACTGGCACCAACATGTACAGAGCTCCTCATAATGTACTAGTCTTATTTGACATATGTCTCATAGCACCCTTAATGTGGCTGATAGAGTATATCACAAAAGCAAATAGTGTCTGTCCACATCAGTCTGTGTGGCCCTTGTAAACAACAATGATAAAACCCTTGAAAATCTGACATCAGTCACATTTTCCTCTATTTAGTTTACATCTGCAGTTAAATTTATTGCATTCCCTGATGTAATTTATATTTGGCAGGTTGTAAACACCAAGATAACGCCAATAAAGGCCCTTTTCATTTACACTGTGGTACCCCCACCCACTACCAGAGGGCAAAAACAGAGATTTCGGGCTACTTTATCACATCGTAGAAAACTTGTATCCATTGCGCTTATACAGTTAAGTCTAGAATTACTGGCACCTTTCATGAAAATAAGCTAAATAAATGCATAATATGAATAATGCATGCAAACTGGGATATGTTGAGCTTAAACATATGCATACACATATTAACACAATATTTTTAAACATCAATCATTGACCTTAATCCATTACCAAATTTGTGCATTCAACAAGCATTTGTCTCTTTTGTGTTTCAAAGTTCATTGGTTTGCCCCATGGCGATTGATGACAAAAGGATTTTACATGTGTGCATACCTCAGGAAACAGGAAATAGCCAAAGGTCACATTGGACTTCCTGGAAACTGAAAGCAATGTAAAAAAAAAGTTTTTCTTTTCAAGGACGACAATTTATACTTATTTTAAATGTCCCACATATTGTAGAGAGAAAATGCTATTACTGACAGAGAAATAAGTTATTTATCATTTTTTGCCATTTTCTCGAAGGATGACAATAGTTCTGGGGTTGAATGCATCTTTGCACATACAGCAAAGATACAGTCACTGTGTGTGTGTGTGTGTGTGTGTGTGTGTGTGTGTGGTGTGTTATTTAAAAACATTGTGATAACAAGAGAATGGGGAGATTAAGGACCTCCACATGGGATTTTGAGTTCTGGGAAACATACCAAGAACTCATGAGAAAATCAAATTCTTTAAATACTTTAAGGTATTTGAGGATAAATGTTTCACTTGAAGATATCCTAACCCTAGTAACACAGATTATTTTCTACTGAAGGTGTAATCACAACACATTATTTCTAAGTTCAAGAGTGGAACTGACACATATAAGTTAAACAACAATCAGTTGTCTTAATTCCCTTGACTTGTCCTTACTTAATTCAGTCCCAAACTTTAAGCAGTGCAACTTGCAGGTGAGTTTTATTGCCAATGACTCATTCACTCGTGGGGGCAATTTAGAGCAGCCAATCCACCTACCAGCATGTTTTTAGGATGTAGGAGGAAACTGGAGCTCAGGACTGAATCATGCAGGAGCTGTGTGCACCAGCACTACCTGCGCCATCATAACCGTACTTAACCATTTAAACTTATCTGGATGTGACGCACTCAGGAAAATTAAGTCACCTACTCTTGAAGAATCAAACAAAGACGAACCTCATTAATGGAGAATCAAAGTGAACTGTGATAACTAAAAGATGAAGGACATCTAGACAATTTATCCTTAAGACTGAATAGATGAATAGTGTTTCAGTGGGATGAGATGAGACAGTGAAATTTTGCAGTCTGTCTGGAGTCTGGTTTGACAGTACATGTGTCTGACTGCATCTCTTGTTCTCTGTTCTCGGTTATTTTTTTATATTTCTGTTTGAAAAATTTCAAAAGGGCATCTATGACCTCTAAATACTGTACTGAAGAGAGGTGCTGAACATACAGGATTAACGTACAACAGCATAGAGTGAACCAACATACTGGTTAAACCTTTGTTATTACTTAAACTTCTCCTATTAACTAACCTAACTTAAAACTTTCCCTACTAATTTTCAGTAAGCTACTTTCCATGCTTTTTAACAATTTGTATTTTGTAGAGCCCTATGATATAAGATACACTGTATGGCCAAAAGTTTCTGGACACCTGACCATCACACCCATATGTGGCTCTTCCCCAAACTGTTCCCAAAAGTTGGAAGCACGCAATTGTCAAGAATGTCTTGTATGCTGTAGCATTACAATTTCCCTTCACTGGAACTAAGGGGTATAAACCTGTTCCAGCATGACAATGCCCCTGTGCACAAAGTGAGGTCCATGAAGACATGGTGTGTTAAGGTTGGAGTGGAAGAACTCGAGTGTCCTGCACATCCAACCTTTAGGATGAACTGATGAACTGTAATACTCCCCAGACCTCCTCACCCAACATCAGTGTCTGACCTCACTAATGCTCTTGTTCCTGAATGAGCAAAAATCCCCACAGCCACGCTCCAAAATCTAGTGGAAAGCCTTCCCAGAAGAGTGGAGCTTATTATAACAGCAAAGGGGGACTAAATCTAGAATGGGATGTTCAGAAAACACATATGGGTGTGATGGTCAGGTGTCCACAAACTTTTGGCAATATAGCATATATGATATATATGATATATTAACACCCCTATCAGACATTCCACCAAAGAACCAAGTAGAACAAATGTTACGAGTAGTAGATCTAGCAAAAACAAGTAGATCTAGTGTAAAGCAGTGGTTCTGAAAGCAGAGCCAGGAGGTCCATAATTATTTTATTTTGTTACAAAGGAATTATATTTATTACTGAGTTCTTATAGTTAACCTGTCTTTTTTGTCTGCCAACAAATCGGCCTACACATAATGACAGCTTTAATCTAACATATTAAGTTGGTGGAAATAAAAAAGCTCTATGCCTATAGTAAATTGTCAGAATATTATTGCACATTTAAATAAACTGCTTTATATATAAATCTGTACTGAGTGTGCCAGTGGAATTTATTTTACAGTTCTTCACAGCTCCAGGGTTCCCGGTTCTATCCTGAGCTCGGGTTACTCTCTGTGTAGCATTTCTCTTGTTCATGTCCATATGGGCTCTCTGGTTTCCTTCCACCTCCCAAATAAATGGTAGTAGATGGCTATGCTAAATTGCCCCAAGGTGTGAAGGAGTGTGGGAATGTGTGTGTGCATGGTACCTTGCGATGGACTGGTGTCCCATCTGAGGTGTATACCTGTCCCAAGCCCAGCGTTCCTGGAATAGGCTCTCGATCCTCCATGACCCTGACCACGATAAAGCAGTTACTGAAGATGTCTGAATGAACTAAGCATATTTAAATGCTCTGTTGCTAGAGAGTTATTCACCTGGTAAAATAAAAGGATATACTGTATAACTTCAGTGGGAAAGACTCTGCTGGGAATATGGACATAATTTACCTTTAAAAATTATTTAAGGTGCATAAATGAACCATAATTAGCTTTTAGAGTAAAGTATTAAAGGTACACAACATGCACCTTTCTATTTGAAAGACAGGGTGAATTCAGGTACAGTACATTGAGACATCAGTAAACTGGGACAGGTATACTTAGCAGTATTTATTTTATGGCCTTTGCAGTGGAACTGCTTGATAGAAATAACATGATTTAATTGATGTGACCTAACAGGGTGACGGGGTGTGGTCAACATCCAACAGGAAGTTGACCCCAAAATGTCTGAGGTAGGAAAAATGGCAATAATAAGGTAGTGAATAAGGTAGACTGGGAAATAGAGTATGTTACATAGGCCTACTACTGAGTATGCAGAGATTTTCACATAGTGCGATGTGTTTATAATATTTTACAAACTGATACTGAATTTTTTTTTTATTTCTGGGATTTTATGTTATACTGCTACTGCAAAAAATAAAAGATAATTTACAAGTAAAGTATAAATAAATTGTAAAAACTTGCTTACCTTTCAGTAGTTGTGTTCTACCATGATTTTACTTATAGGTGCATTACGTAAGATTATTATTATTATTATTTTTTTTTTTCAAGATTAGGTCCCTGGAGGACTAGTGGTTAGGCCATGGTGCTCTCAACGTCACAGCCTGGGTTCGATGCCCAGCCAGGGAACCAGCCCCAGCCACTGGGGTTGCACAAGACAGTGCACTCTCAGTGCTGAACCCACTGGGGAGGGCTGTGTCAGGAAGGGCATCCGGGGTAAAAGCTGTACCAAATCAAATGACCAATTGTGGACCAATCCGGACCAATGATCCGGGAGCAGCCGAAAGAACAAGGTTTCTAAAGTATAGGGGGGTTCGATATTTGAATGATTCCCCCCCATATTCACAAAGTTTGGCCCCCAGGATCTTAGGTGGCCCGTACAGAGTCTACAAAATACAGTGACAGGAGGCATATCCGAACACAAACAAGCATTCCGGTCCGGAAGTCAGTTTTTCAAATGGGTTTTCTCAGCGAATTAATAAACGTTTGCTAAAGCAAGAGCTTAACACATATTTTTTTTCTCCTTTTTAATCATGTTCTCCGTATCTTCCAATCCACGTTATTCGTACAAGTAAGGAATAAAAATAAAAAAAATCAAATATTGCACCTTTAATCTGTTCTTACTGGATTTTTAGCAAAGATTGGGTTTGAATTGAAATATAAACCCTGTTATTGTTATTATTCCTGGAAGTAATGAATGATGAATATAGTCACAACAACTTGATATGTAGTCATTTTACTTTTACAGCTGTGTTCATATTAGGCTACTGTTATGATAAATTTAAAAAGATTGAAATGTAATTTTTTTAAAAGTTTTTTTAAGTTTATAAATGTCATTGAGGATGAAAGTAAAACCCTAAATGAAAATATGTGTCCCAAATGACAATGACCAATGAAAAATGAACATTGGTTTTCATTCACCCTTGTCAGGCATGCTATTTCAGATTACGATATAACTATTTTTCCTTCACATCTGGATAGTCAGCACTGAGGATTTCTGAAATGTGTTGGGAATTTTGTTTTATTATATTTATTAATGGCAACCAAGTTCGGGGAAAAATGCAAATGGAAAATCTGTTCCAGTAAATCTGCGTTCACTCAAAGGTACAAAAGGTGATGGTAGCACCACAGCGACATGGAATGGTGCAGTTTTGTATCTTTTTTTCCCCCCCCCTGAGTGTGTCTTATGAAAATGTTACCAGAAAGACTTTGCTCCACTGGAACTGATGGAAGCTGGGGGGAAAATGCATGACACAGAACAGACCCTCATCTCTCTGCTGCTCTGTTTAACATCTCCACACACCTCTTCATGTCTGATCTGGAGCTCAGCAAGCTTTGTGAACTCAGTCTGTCAGCAGTTACAGCGAGCAAATTCCCATTCCACACAAGTTCCGCCGTGCTACAGCAAGCAGCGCGCGACACAACTGCTCCTCGCGGCGCCAAAGTTGCGCGAGACTCCCGTTTCCAGCTCCCCCGACCCAGGATACTGAAGCGCAGATCTTACTACGCAGCTTCTCCTGGATCCACGTAGGTACTTGCAGGAGCAAACGTGTTCAGAACTCTATTGTAGCCGTGCTCCCAAATCCACAGCAGCCCGAATAAAACAAACCCGCTTCAGATGGAAGCGCGCGCGCCACACTATACGCTCCAGAAGACGCGTACTACCCGGCAAACTAGTGCGCAAGTATACACAGTGTAGCCTAATTAATGATACTACATAGTAGGCTAGTGTGCACTTTCAGGAGGCAGCCCTGCTTCTTTCCTGCTCTGTGCGCGCGCGGTGACGTCAGCACCTCTCTGCGCTGGGTAGAAGTCACTCCGCTCACACACACAGTTAACAAAGTGGAGGGAGGGAGGGAGAGAGAGAGAGAGAGCGAGAGACGGAGCCGACTTTAGTTGTACCGCGTAAAACCGTTAAAAACAGGAGTACTAAAGCAGTGGAAGTGCGGGACTCCACACACACGCACGCACGCACACGCGCACACCGACACATTTGCGACACATTTTCCCCCCTGGAGCTCGGGGGTTAGCGTCCGCTACTCTCCTGCAATGGATAGAGTTTTAACTTGGCTCCTGGCTGTACTCAGTTTACTGCTTTCAGTTCGAGGACAAGTATTCCGAGGTAGGTCCATGCTGCTGTTTCTAAATAACGTCGTGGCGCGTTAAAAGCCATGTTTGCGTGCTTTAGCGCGTGAGGTTTGGCGTTGTGCCTTGTGAAGTTGCTTCTCTAAAGCAGGCGAACTGGTGAACTTTTTTATCAGGCGACGTCCTGCTTCGCATTCCTGTCCTGTGATAATCCTCCAGGCTGACCAACTTCACAGAAACTTCTTTCGCCTTCCTGTGTGCCTCGTGAGCGCTCGGTGGACACGGCTGTGGTGGGGTTGGCTTTCTCTGGATAGAGGGATAGGTGGATGGATAGATAGATGTATGCATGTACGTATGGATTGATAGATGGCTTAGATCTTCTTTACCGCTGTGTAAACTTTGGCTCGGAGCTGGAACCTGACTGAGTGCCACAATATCTCTTCTGAGTTCTTCCGAGGTCATATGCGTCCACAGCACATTAGATCAGGACACGAGGGGACACAAGTGGCTTTCCTTTGGGTATTGTAGGTGTTAAAACGTGTGCGTGTGTGCTTGTGTGTGTGTGTGTGTGTGTGTATATATATGCGCGCGCTGGGTTTTTTTTGGGAGTCGGCTGAAGAAATTCCTAGTAACCGTTACATTTTGGTGAATACTCCAAAACCCCAACAACAACAACAACAACAACAACAAATATTCAACTCGGAAGCTTTAGAGATTCTTAATGAAACTTGGATCATTGTATATCTTGGGAATGTTTGCTATCTAGAGGCACTTCTACAGGTTTAACCGGTAAAACAAGCCGAAAAACCTCTTAAAGATCTCCCCTGAACCTTTTTCTTTTAAAAGTGCACTTTTTTCAACTTTTCCTCTAAGCATTCAAGTGGCCGGCAGAGGAGTGGATAATCCGTGTCTGAGTACACACACACGTACACACACACACACACACACACACACACACACACTCAAGCTCGCAGGCTGTTTGTTTGAACTGCTCTAACCGGCTAGAAGTCTAATCTTATCAAAGCAAGCCGTTACTTTTTATAGAGGCTGATCATCCCTCTAGCGTTAGACTCCAGTTACAAGCTGACTGATCCTACAAGCCTAGGCTCCAGTTTATATTCTGCATGCCAAAAAAAAAGAGAGAACATGTTGAATAATCCATTTAAAGACTGCTTGAACTTTATATTTTGTCCTTTCTCTTTCTCTCTCTCTCCTCTTTTCTTCTTTTCTTGCATGTGTGTTGTAACTGCTTTCAGTACAGAATGAACAACCTAGAATAAACAGACTCTTGCTCTGATCTCTGGCACTCACTCATTGTGTTTTTCATTACTTGGTAAAGTTTGCTCCAGTTAGAACATCTCCACTCCTCTAGCTATTTATTCTGCTGGCTGCAAACTGCTTTTTGAAACTCTTTGGAGAAGACAGCTGACTTAAGGAGTTCATCTGACAGCCAGCACTCTTGTAACTCGTGTTGTTTTATTTAATTAGCAACAAGAAAATTATTTTTTATTAAAATCATTTTTTCCCCAAAAAATCCAGTATTAATCGTTTTGTCCTGTTCTGTTCTTTTGTGTTTGCATGATTTTTTTTTTTTTTATACACATGGCGCACAGCTGGCACGGTCACCGTGTGTCTTGTAGTTCTCATAGTGTCCTGATGGGGGCAGCATCGCACACGCGGACCTCCAGCAGTTCATACCGTTACTTCCAACATAGATGAGAAAATAATGCCTTCTACACCATGCACTACAAGTTCCCAACCCTGGTACTGGACTACCCCCTGTCCTATATACATATTAGTATTGTCCCTGCTCTAACACACACACACACACTTACTTCAACTCAGCAAGTGCTATTTACTTCTGATTTGTCGAATCAGTTTTGTCAGAGGAGCACTCCAGGGGTACTTCAGGAACAGGGTTTGCACCCCTGTTTGAAGAACTGACATGCATAGAATTATTTCCAGCACCAATTTATATTTAAATTTTTTTTCTTTTATCATAGGAACTATTCAGTCCACCCAAGTATCGTAAACTGTGATTTATAGTTTTTTTTTATTTATTTTTTTTACACAAGTCGTGTTTATTACAAATGTATGGTCCAGGTGTTTATTGTCTGCAAAGAAAAGCATTCTTATTCTGCTTCCATTTCTTATTGTCGGTTACTAACATATTCATATCATTTATTTGTGATCCTAATGCACCAGCTGCATTATTATTCTTTATTTCTCTTTGGCCAGTGATGTGAAAGGATATCCTGTCTGAATCTCCCAGCTGGGTCATGTTTTACATTCTCTTCCGTGGATTTACTCACACACTCTCTTTTCTCGACATTGTGTTTGAGTCCCATTGTGTTCTGTAAGCTCTGCTTCTGGTGGATTTACTCTCATGACCACCACAGAAGGACTTGGATCTGACTGATCACTGTATATTTCTGAGATAAACAGCTTACAAATAATTAACACAATTACCAAGGGATCGCTGATGTACTAAAAGGACTGCATCTTTTTTTTCTTTTTGGTTTTTACTATGAAAAGTGCCAATTTTGATTACAACCACGTTGTATTTTAAGCAAGTGGGCCTTTGGCCCGATACTACACTATTATACTAATAATCATGGCTATTAGATGGTCCTAATTATTATTACAGTAGAACATAAACTAAGAAGATGTTTTATATTGGGAAGACTTTGATATTAGGTATGGTATTTTATTTATTACTTTATTTGATAGATGATAGATGAGTCAAATGAACAATAGGCCATTAAAGCTCGTAAAAAAATGCATAAGATAGCTATTTTGAGATGATTGTGTACTTAATATGTGTTGATTGATTTGAACTGGCTTCAAGTTTGACTTTTTTGGACATTTTTGTGGGCTGTTGAAGTTGTCAGAGAGAGTCGTGTGACTGAACCTCTTTTAGTTCCTCCATCTTGTCTGTCATTTATGTTTTAAACTTTAAATGGTATTTGAGTAATTCTGCAGTCTTGGGTGATCAGTCAGGTTTATGTGTAATCACAGAGGTTTAGTGTCTAAGAAACGGCAGT